CATCCACGATGGCTTTAGAGTCTGAAGGAGACAAACAGACAGATCAGAGATCAGAACAATCCAAAAAACAGCAGTCACCTCTGCTGTTGGTTCACCTGCGTCGCTGCATATCATTACTACTACCTTTATTACTAACACACCAACAACTAAACCATCACAACTACTACAACACAGCAGAGCTGAATTAAAACTCCACGAGATGAGGGGAGAGGATGAAACTGACAGTATCAAGTTAAAGTATTGTGTTCACAACATCCACCTTTACACCATAGCTTCAATCTGCCACCACTCCAGCCCACCCTTTTTAACATCCCACCAACAACAGAACTCCAGTTTATTTAAGACAGACATGAACACAAGATCCGAATACAGGCCAGTGCTGCTGGGTAATGTTTTTCATTAATCAGATCTCATTGTACCAGCTGGTAACACACACACACACACACACACACACACACACACCTTTGGCTGCAGTACACTGAGTTCACAGTGAAGCAGACAAAACATTCCAGTCATTTTTAATCTCTCAGTTTCTCATACAAGCAACTTATTCATTAGAGGCAAACTGAGGAAACTCTTTATGGTAATTTGTTGTTGTTTGCTTCAAAGTTGGTAGAAACACAAGGGTGGGGGGAAAAATGTCTAAGACTATATCAATCAAGCACTATATCACATATCTATTAGTCAAGTTTGAACAATTCCATTACTCAATGACAGCACAAAGGAGTAATAAAGTAAGACAATGCAAACAAATCAGGCCATAACATGTTCATTGTTCAAACAAATCAGTAGAATTTGTTTGCAAGGCGATCATCTGACGATAGGGATATGAATCGAGAATCGGTTCCAAATTGTTCAATGCGTCAGAATCATATAATATAATATAATAACCACAGAACTTATCAATTACTTTTATCAATGCCAGCATGTTTTTCTGACAGTTGCGTATCGTTGATGAACAAGGAGTCACTGTAGAGAGGAAGAAATGGACTACAGCTTGCTTCACACAGAAACTTTTCTGCATTGTGTTCAAAATCAGACCGATAAGCAGAATTGATAACGGTATCAATACAATCTCACCATTTCCCATCCCTACTGACCAACTGAGAGCAAAACGTGGACAGGAGGAGCGATCAAACCCTGTAATTGGGCACCGCAGCACTGTAAAGACACACACTGTAAAGCTGTCAGGTACACATCAGTCCAACATTTCTTTCAGTGTAGGAATAATGTGGATGGTTTAAAGGAGAGATGTGATTGTAAAACCTATCGGCAGGAGAAAGTCTGATCACACACACACCTACACACACACACACACACACACACACGCTAGAGCCTCAGAAGTTCAGAGAAAGATTAATTTGGTAAAATAATTTCTGTTTTGTGATGGAGTTGCATCTCTGACTCAGTTTTCTAATACGCATCATTTCATCTTCACACACCTACTTCCCCCCCCCCACATTGTGACACGCTACTCTGATTAATCTCTGCAAGGTGAATATCCGCTGAATCAGACAGATCCTGACACGTCTCGTCTGGTTATCTTTGCAGTCACTAGATGACAGCTGCAACAGTCACGTCACTCATTACTTTTGCTGTGTGACGTAGTGCCTCTGCTTGTTTTCTCTAAAGCATAATAAGCCATATATTATATTTTATAAACATTTCTGATGTAGGTCTTCCACTACAACATGCTGCTGTATAACACAGGCAGAAATAATTAAGACTATATCAGTATTAATAGCCACCACACACTTCACTTCCCCTGAGCCTTCATACTCTTCATGGTTAACTAAATATGTTTGTCTCTGCTCGCCTATGAAACTGTGTTGCGGACTTTTAACACTGTATCGGTGTGTTCAGCAGATATGAGCGTCCACAGTGTGTGAAAGAAAAGTCCTGTGAGCCACCTGAGGAATCTCCAGCTCTGCTTCACTGTCAGCGGACCAGCTGTGGTTTCAAACATGTTTCAGCAACTCAGGTTTAAGGTGGAGCTCTGGGAGACTGTTGCCTCACCCATGGGTGACACAACCCTGTTAATGACTGAGGATATTCTTCAACACACACACACACACACACACACACACACACACCCACACCGAGGTTGCGACATCCTGCTTTCTACATTCCTAATCTCTCTCTCTCCAGAGTCAACACACTCAGTTATCTCTTTGTGTTTCTGTCTCCTTTTCTTTGTCTATTTCAACTGTTGTGACTCATTTTTCCTCTCATCCTTCCTCTAACCCTCTTATACTCTCGTCACCTGTTTGATTTTCTTACTCTCATTTCTCACCACTAATCTCTCTGTGGTTTTCCCCTCTCTTTCTTCCCTCCCTCCCGTATCTCTTCCCTCCTTTCTTTTGCCCTCTACGGTTGATCTGCCACACCTGTGTGTGTGTGTGTG